ACAGAGAAGGTTATTTGTCCTGTCTGATAGTGTGCGGTGTCTGTTGTGCTGGGAACAGTCTCGGGCATCAGTCCCATTACAAAGGTTTGGTCACGTTTATTGTCAGGCAGCCATGGCCCTAACGTGCTTTTTCTGACAAAGTACTAACTTATGTACATACGTACTTATATATGCTCAGTACTTCCACAAAACAGCATCCCCTAGGCTATTGCAAAGTCACATATATTTGTATATGTATTTTTATCTTACTATTGTAAAGTGACCAAACCAGTTTGGTGTATGTCTTTCGTACCCTGTGTCCTCATCTGAGTGTTCATGCTCCATTCTTATTACACATTCTTGCTCTCCCTTGTTTAATAAATTTTCCTGTTATTCACTTAACAGTTAATTGAACATGTCATAGCATTCTCAACTTCATTAGCATATTTGAACTTACATAACCATTTTCTCTGTCCGTCACAGCATCTAAAACTATTGTGACTTTCAGCAAAAGTGTTTATGAATATATGTACTTTATAGAGTATGTTCTGATTGATGCTCTGGTGAGAACTACAGTAGACCCTGCACAAACAAAAGTTAACCTCTGCTCCAAGTTCTCTCTGCACTTCTGTTTGCTCTGCTATTTCAAATCTGGTGGAATGGATGTAAATACCATTTCCACGAGGCATATTGCCATGGTTATGATTTTAGTGTATGTCTATTGAGATATTCTGAAAAGGGCTGTCCTGGATGTTTTTGGCCTCCTATGTAAGTTCAACAGTATGCTGTGTTTACAGGCTCTTAGTGTAAGCGTTAGGATCCAACAAATAGCCAAGTTATGAAATTGATACTCAAAAGGGCAGCTGGACTTTCCAAAATGTATAAACATGTAAATTACATAATTCAACTTCTTCCACATACAGAATTGCAAGTACATCTAAGAAGGATTGTTGATGGCACTAACTAACAGAAGATCTTTGTAACGATGTATGTTTTATAACTATCTTTGGAAAGGGAACATCAGCATTGTTAAAGTAAAAAAATTCCTCTAGAAATTCAGTGAGTGTTCTTGTCAGCCATTTACTTGGTGTACAATTATTACAGTCAGTTCAACATTTTCTTGTAGTTTTTTACCAATAAATTAGACACTACTAATAGGAATGTGTGTATATCTCATACTTTGACCATGGGCTTGTCAGACTCCTCTGTGTGGTTACCTGGCATCTGGGTCAATGAGCTTATTATGTTCTATACTGCTCCATTCCTTATTGTCTTGGGAAATGGACAGTGTTAGAACAGAAGGATCTTGTGAACAGCAAAATTAATGAGGTCTGGGTCCTTGTTGGTGGGCTTTGTGACAGCCCGTAAGAATGCTTTTACCCTTGGAGCTCCCAGGTGGTTGCTTAGTTCATCCACCGTGATGACCAAAACTACCTTACCATCTCCAGCGTCCTCCTGTTGAACTGCTAGCTGCTTTGTGGCCAAACATAGGCTGCCCATTTCTTGCTGCTTAGCTGTCAGGTGCACAGAATGCTTTGCCCCTCAACTGGAGATCTGTACAGATAGCTTTGAGAAGGTATGTATATCTCCCCAAATATGTATTATGTGGGGTTGACCTTAATAACTTTGAAGTCCATATTGAATTTCACTGTAATGGCCAATGGGTCACTTATTTGATATTAGTTTCAAGTGGAAAAACAGGGCAAATGTATTAACTTTAAGGTGGTTTGGTTTTGGAGGGGGTTTTTTGTTTGGTTTGGGTTTTTTTTTTAGAAAACCAAGCTAGTAGCCTAATAGCTAACCAGGCATTTTTCAGTTAATGTGTAAATGTTCAATATGTAAGCAAAGAAGTTTTGTCAGGTTGTAGAGTAGCTTGGATTTGGTCACATCAGAGAGCACGTGATCACACCACAGACAATACCCAGTCACATAGGCCAGCACTGCGTTTTGATGCTGGAACCTGGTTTTGTGACAAGTACCTGGTGGTCAGATGATGGAAGAGGGCTTGAGTATGTAGCCTTTGCCTGCCATGACAAGAAGCTGTGTGGCACACAGCCATATGTTAAGAAACAAAACTAGGAGATCCCAGCTCCAATGAACTACTGGAGTTTGGGTTTTGGTAATCCACAAAAAGACAGACTTTGTACCTGGAATCCTGTGGGAGTAAATGGAGCAAATATAAGGGGGCTTGTTGCCCAGCTTTGCTGAATTCTAGACCTGTGCAACATATGTCAGCACCTCCTATATTTTCTACCCTTTTGCCAGTAATTTGATCACATATTTATAAATGTAACTGTTGATTAATTCATATGGCTTGGTAGAAGAATGAATGAAATAATTATAAATGCTAGTTGGCCTTGTTTAACATACCAAGTTTTAGCTAAATTGTTAAGATATTTTGGAGAGCTCTAAAATCATCAACAGATCCAGTAAAGTGGTAAATTAGTGTCAAAATTACCAAATAAAGCAGGTATTGTCTATTTTTAATTTTTTTTTTTTTCTTAATGGAGGGGAGGGTAAATTAGGCTCAACCATAGAACAGTATTCATTACTATCTTCCTTAATGATGGACAAAAACATTAGATGTATACTGCTGAAATTTGCTTTTAATAAAAAATAAGGAGACACTGCTATTACAGATTAGGATTAGGACGCACTGCAAATTGGAGTAATGAGACACTGATGAGATATTAATCACAATGCTGTACAACAGAACTAATAATGATGAAAGAAATATGAGATCGAACTGGAGTGGATGAAAACTGCAAGAAATAGTAAGGAAAATAAAAATTCAGTCTTATAAATGAACCTTGAAAAGTTTGACAATTGTTCATTCTAATAACAGCTGAGAGGATATCTACACTCTTGATAATTGTGAGTGGATAATATACAAAGGAAAATAAAATCAAATTACAGTTTTGACAGAAGAACAAATATATGTAAGCATTAATAAATTGCTTGTGTAATTAAAAGGTTGCAGTCTTGGCACCAGTGTACTGGGATAGTTTTTGGAAATAGTGGTGGTAAAAGAAAACTTTCTGAAACATAGATTGCTTTTATGAAAGTGATTATATTATGTCTTTGCCTAAAATAGCAGAGATGAACTTGATGAAGTTAGATGTTTCTGTGTTCATTATACGAAGATGAATATTACTGACGTTGGTAATTTACCTACAGAAAGCAAGTAGTAGGTCGAAACTTGCTATAGAAATTGCATGTAAAAGGAGAAACATATCTACTATATATTATCAATTACAGAATCTTGTGAAAAGGTTTATGTTTCCTTTAGAAGTGTTACTTTGCATGATGACAAATAAACCTTGAAATTCACTTACTTTTTTTTTAAGTTTCATTCAAATCTGGGAAACATTTTACTGAAACAACTCTGCTTTTGGAGATTAATTCTTGAGGAACAGGAAAAGGATATTCTAAAGAATTCTAACCTACAAAAAAGCTTTATGATTTATGGAAGTTGGGGTTTATGAGGCCATACATTATCAGAATAAATGGTGGTCTTGTTCTTCTGTATTTTCCTAGTTCCTCAGGCTTAGAATGGAAAAAGTGAATACGTGAGATTGGCCATGGGAAGGAGAAGATGCCTGCTCCAAGGGTGCCAGTGCTGGCAGCAAGATCAATGGATCTCTTCTGTTCCGGGAGACATGGAGGTCTATTTGTGGTTGGAGCTACCTGACTAGCTAAAAGTGTAGATCAGTCTGCTATGAAAGTACCCCCCATGAAGAAGACTGCCTGATGGCTTAGTTTGCTCTGAATATATCACGTTGTCATATAAGCCTTTTCATGAAATTAAAAACCAAAACCAATATCTTTCTGGTTTCCGGGTTTGGCTTGGAATTTTTTATCCCCTTCTTTGTCAATTCAGGTGGGCCATATTCTGTTGCTAATTTTAATTGGCATTGTGGAAGCAGAATCCTGCAATAGAAAAACCTTGGGATGTTTCCTTAAGCTTTAAAATAGGCAAGCTTGACTCAGATTTGCAGTAAGGGAAGTTTGTGCACCTATAGCAGTATAAATAGCACTTTAAATAGGTGTAAATAAAATATACTCATGTTTAAAGTTTCTTTATGTTGTCAAAGTTGAGTAAAGTATTTTTAATGTAAAAAATAGTGAGGCCTTACTTACCATACAAAGAGTTAGGGAATTTCACCACAAAAACTTGGCTGCTGACAGGGAGATTGCATTGTCTTAAATTTAAATCAGTTCTGAAGCCAGCTAATTCCTGCCACTGTAAATGAAGCTGACAATGTGCAGCATAAGCTGTAAGCAAACATACAGTTTCAAGACTAGACATAGGAGATAAAATTGGTATCAATTGACTAAACACTCAAAGTTGCACTGTGACCAAACCACCTCTAAGTGACCCTCTTTGGTAAGCCCTAGCAATCCTGTGATGAGGCCAGGCTGGCAGTGTTTCTTTGTATTTTGGTATTTTAGTCCGGAATGCCTGATGGGAATCTACTTGGAAAGTAGTCTAGTAGCCTGTATCTACCTTCCACTGTAAGCTCTACAGAGACCATTGGTCTGCTTTGAGTTTAGGGGTTTGTAGTATACAGATGAGCGTTTTGGAATCTAAAAATATGTTAAAAAGTTCTACTTTTCCATCTTCATTTTGCAACAAATTGTAAGAGTCTGGGGTTTTTTGAGGACTAGTCTTTCTTTTAAATGGCCATTAAAAATTTTAACACATTCCTTTGTGTCCTTCCCATGGACTTTATTGAAAAAAATTCTACAGGTGGGTACTATTTATACAGGTTTTCTGTGATACATGTCAAACATTTTACTTTTCAAAGTATGCTATGTGTATATATTTTGCAAGTAGAAGTATAATTATCAAATTAAATTCAGCATAAAACTCATAACAAATTTAGAACTGTGCATAGGACTTACAAACAAAATTCAGTGCTGGGAATTGGATTGTTTGTTTTATGGTACATTTATTTATTTATTTATTTATTTTACTAGTAAGACTGTAGAATCAATTACTTATTTTTCCATTTCAGTTTCAGGAACAGATTGAAGAAACCATGGCAAATCAACGGGATTACATTAGCAGACCTATTTGCAACGGAATTTCTGTTCCTGAAAATAAAATCAATTCCTTGGTGGCTGAAGGTCATGGACAACAAATTCTAAAAGTACTACAGAAGTTCAGAGAACAGAATATATTTTTTGACTTTAAAATTCTTGTGAAAGATGAAATAATTCCTTGTCATCGTTGTGTACTGGCAGCATGCAGTGATTTTTTCAGGTAAACCTAATTTTGGCATGAGTTTGCAGGAAATGGATTGTAAATTCTCTGGGAGGGAGGGAAGGAATATAATTATAAAAAAAATTTTTTTTAAAGTCATCACAACTTACATGTCTGCAGAGTTTTGAGCAAAGTGTTGAAACACCATGTTAAGGGTAGCAAAAGAACCCAACCCAAAACAAAACTACCGTGTTAGATGCCTAACCATACCCCAAATACAACTGTTTGTATTTTCAGAGTGACACAGGACTCCATGAATCTGGGATTCATACAGCAGTCTGTACTCTGAAATACAGATGTCAAGCTGTTAAGCACGTGGTTCTGCTCCTAGGTAGAACTGACACAAGTCATGTCTCTTTAAGGCTTATCTGCTGCCTTTATCTGTACTTGAAGGTCTTCAAAGGTATTGTTTGACTTTGTATGGGACAGTCTATGTACTTTGACACACTTATGTTGTGAAACATAGAAGATTGGTTACAAATACATCTTCCATTGAGCAATTGTGGATAAACTGCAGATGGTTTTGGAATGGGGCTGGATTTTGTTTCTCTCAGAGTGGTCAGTGTAGTAGAGTTTGTCTTCAAAGGTATTAAAACAGGTATCTTATTTTTTTTATAAAGTACAGTTTTCAGCCTTTCTGCATGAAATGGATCAGGCATCTTCCTTCTAGTGCTTAAAGCTATGCATTCGTAAGGGACAGATCATTCTCGTACAGGATGTTAACTTATGGAGAACCTTGCTAACTTTTTTATTAGTAAGGCTCAAACTTGCAATTCCTCATTGAAAGTCTGTTTGCAAATACAGACTTTACAAAATCATAAAGCCAAGATGCTCTAACAATGAAAAACTGGGCCCCTGGAACTGAGTTAATGAGCTTGATTCAGTTGCCCGTATGTAGGTGAGAAGTGTTATTTTTGAATGACCTAGAGCATCCTATGGTCTGTGGGAGTCTGCCATACATGACAGAGGACATAGGCTAGATTTGTTCTTAGGACTACTGAAAAAAAGAACTGCGGGTGAAATAAGCTATTTTTCCACATCAGCAGATTTATTTTTTTCTCTGACACACAGAACTATTTGCTTTTCAAGTGTTTACTGCTTGACAGCACAGAGATGCTCTGGTAGAAAGGAATATGTGGTAATTTTTAGATCTGAAGTTAAGCACATGGTAACATATGTGGCCTTTTCACTACCTACAGGCTCTTCAGGTTAAAATTTGCCAGGAGAGACCTCTCCCTGTGTGTAACAGTTGATAACAGTGGCCGTCAAATTAATGAGTTGTCCTGCAATGCAAGGGCCATTTATTATCTTCAGGAAATAACAAGTAGCTAAGTCCACTGGATAAATTTTTAAATACAACACCTTTTGCATTCCTTGGCCTTTGGACTTCTCTTAGTTTTAATTTAATTGTGTAAACCCAAGGTTTGGCTCCCTGCTTGTTAGCTTTCAGGACCAAAGCCTTTGCCTAGATTGCTCTCCTTCCACTAGTATTGTTCAGTTGCTATTTTACTCTGTAATTTAGAGATTTGTATTGTAGCTCTTGGGTTAATGAGGAAAGGATTCTAAGGACCATGATTTAGTATGCAAAAAGGTATTTTGGACATATATGTCTTACAGTAATTTATGTTCTTGTTCAGGTCAGACAAGCTCCTGCTTTACCTGTTCACTTCCCAAAGAGTATGCTATACACAGTGGTGGTTTTTTTCTCTTTGGCTTCATAAAAGTATGGGATTTTAGAAATCACATACTAATTGTATAACTGAACTATGATTAATACTCTTTATTAACAGAAACTATCTATGATATATTAATAATCCAGATTATATACTTAGTATTTGATGATTTATCTAAATCTTTCTCCACTGTCATCTTTTGTCAAATTCAGAAGCTGTTGCTATCACAGCCTGATGCTTAGGCTCTGGGAGGGTAGGGCAAGTGATGTTGCAGCACTATTCTGTTGCCAGTAGTTATTGGCTTGAAAAACCTTAATTATTTTATCTTGCCATGTGAAATACTTAAATGTTATTACATATTCAGTAATAAAGTAGTAAATATTTGAATAAAATTTGCACAAATCTACTGATCAATAATGTTTGTTCCACGATTTTAACCATCGTCTTTGTATTCTGTCACAATCTACTTTCTGCACAAGTTTCATTGCATCATCCAGTCCTGTGTCAAAATCTCATTTTTTTTCTGACATCTGTCAACTCTAAAGCAAGAATTAAGTTTCCTCATATTTTTTCTCCTCATTCACCCCTCACCCGCTTTTATTACTGTCCGTTGCTCTGCCTACAATTTGGAAGGCCTTTTTTTGCTTAATTTTCTGTATTCATCCACAGTGCATGACCTAAATCATGGGGCTTTTTTATTATATGTTTCTTACATCAGCCTTCCTTTCTCAAGCTGTTGAAACTGATGCTGCCCCTAACAATTTCACATTTCCCTGCACAGAAAGCTGTAGACCTCATCTCTTTCTGTGGAAATCCATACAAAACACAGGTGCTGCTATCATTTTAAGGAGCCATCACTTTTTTCCTCAACCATATCAAGCAAATGCATTATTCTTACTTATGAGAACCTCCACATTTTAGATCTATACAGCATGCCCACCTTATTATATGCCACTGATTGTCTCCTTCCTCTCACATCAGTGTTCTCTGCTGCTTGCTAGATCTTTAATTTGTGTGTATATCTTCTATATTTTATTCACAGAGCCATGTTTGAAGTTAATATGAAAGAACGAGATGATGGCAATGTTACTATTAGTAATCTATCACCCAAGGCAGTGAAAGCTTTTCTTGATTACGCTTACACAGGAAAAACAGAGATAACAAATGATAATGTGGAAATGCTCTTCCAGTTGTCATCATTTCTTCAAGTTTCACTCCTTTCCAAAGCTTGCAGTGACTTTCTAATAAAAAGTATCGATCTTGTGAATTGCTTACAGTTGCTTTCCCTGTCAGAAAGTTACGGTTCTGTCCGCTTATTTGATCATGCACTAGATTTTGTACAGCACCACTTTTCCTTGCTACTCAGATCAAGTGATTTTTTGGAGATGAATTTTGAGATATTACAAAAATGTCTCGAGGCTGATGAACTAAACGTCCCTGAGGAAGAATCAGTGTTGAAAGCTGTCCTTCAATGGACCAAACATAACTTAGAAACACGACAGAAATATCTGCCTAATTTGATTAAAAAAGTAAGACTACACCAGTTACCTGAAAAGACTTTGCAGGACTTCCTGCATTCTGAAGAACACTTACTTAAGACTGCTGATTGCTCAGTAATAATAAATGATGCAGTTAAAAGTGTACAAAACTTTAGTGGACTGTTTCCAGATGCGCGTCCTTCAACAACAGAAAAATACATATTTGTTCATAAAACTGATGAAGATGGAGAAAACAGACATACGTTCTGCTACAACATCAAAACAGATAAATGGAAAGAGCTACCACATACGCACATGATTGATCTTCCAGGGTCAAGTCTGTCTAGCTATGGAGAAAAAATATTTATAACTGGAGGATGCAAAGGGAATTGTTACAGGACTGTCAGGCTTCATATTGCTGAACCATTTCATGATGCCACTGACCAAACCTGGTGCTACTGTCCAGTCAGCAATGAATTCTCCATAGTGTCAGCTATGAAAAAACCACGGACAATGCACACATCTGTTGTAACCTTAAATCAGCTGTTTGTAATAGGTGGAAAGACCAAAGGAGCTCAAGAAACCCGAAGTCTTTTGGATGTAGAATCCTATAATCCTCTTTCCCAAGACTGGAAATCTGTAAGCCAATTACCCAGGGGTATCTACTATCCAGAAGCAAGTGCATGTCAGAATATAATTTACGTCCTTGGCTCAGAAGTAGAGATTACTGATGCCTTTAATCCGTCTCTTGACTGTTTCTTTAAGTATAATGCTATGACTGATCAGTGGTCTGAGCTTGTAGCAGAATTTGGGCAATTTTTCCATGCAACTCTAATCAAAGCTGTTCCAGTGAACTGTACCTTGTACATATGTGATCTCTCCACCTACAAGGTCTACAGTTTTTGCCCAGAAACCTGTGTTTGGAAAGGGGAAGGCTCTTTTGAATGTGCTGGCTTTAATGCCGGGGCAGTTGGGACAGAAGACAAAATTTATATACTAGGTGGTGATTATGCTCCAGAAGAAATCACAGATGAAGTTCAAGTCTACCATAGTAGTAGGTCTGAGTGGGAAGAAGTTTCACCAATGCCGAGAGCCTTAACTGAGTTTTACTGTCAGGTCATTCAGTTTAATAAATATAGGGACCCCTGGTCATCTGTACTGACAATTTGCTCTGGAGAATTTTGAAACTCCTGAGTCAAAATAATCTATTTAAATGCACAAGCTTTAGAACAGATTTTTAGGTATTAATTTACAGACAGAAAAATATGTACTTTTTTGTTTAAATCTTCAAATTGTATGCTATAGAATTGCTTTTGGAAGTGTCCATTAAGTTGTCATTCATGTTAATCATTATATAGAAAGTATTACTTAATTTTATATGCAAGACTTCTCTGTAATTATCTGAATAATTTGCAAAATGATACTACTTTTCAAAAAAGCATAGTAATGAGGAATTCATTGTGCAATATGTGCCATTATGTCTGTAATACTCGCAGTTGTCCCAGTAGACAAATTGCCGAGTGAGAAAACGGACTGTGATACTGTTTTCCCTATGTAACTGAAGTTTAAAAGAAATCTACATTGGTGGTGTTTTATTTAGTGTTTTTAATATTCATGAACCTGTGAGAGGAATTAATTGTCAGCTTTATCTTATTAAAATGACTTTAGCAAGGGCAAGAGCCAAAGTGACCTTCACAGCATAAACCAGGTATCTAACTTGAAGAGACTGGTAATTCCTGTCATCTTACTTCAGCTCTTCAGTTTTACCAGTTTTTCTCCATCCTTGTGCCTTAGTAGTAGCTCTACTTTCTGTTTGCATCCCATTAACTATGGCAAGATAAACTTTGATAACATAGTGCAGAGTGGAGGAGATTTCTACAAGGTGGATGAATCGGCCTATCTTTGCTTCAGTTATGCTGTTAACTAAAGAAAAAACACTTTCAAGATGTTTTCGAACAGAAGTTGTTTCAAGTCTCCAGTGCTATCTACCAAGCAGCCACTAGGCTGTTTACAGCAGCAAGCTGTAAAATGAATTTTAGTTGCTTCGGTTAACTATGGGGAAAGTTTGTATCTTGTCATACATCAAATTAAAAGTTAAAAAAATAAACCCCCATGTTTAAAGTAAAAGTTAATAGTATTTCTGAAGTGAAAGAATTCCTTTTCTAAACTTCCGTAGTGGTTTGAATGAATTAAAACACTTTCATCTTGTACTTCATGGTAATTTTAAGTGTTAGAACATAACATGGTAAACACTACACAATATATTTCTTGATAAACTTTCAGTAGTCATCTATTATAATGTTAAAATTGTAATAGACTTTTAGTATTAATATTAGCCTAGGCATACGTTGTGAAGTAAATTTGATCTCATGCATACAAAGTGTCTGACAGCAGGACACTGAAATTAGGGAGGTTTCATAAATTCGTTTGTAATCTTCCACAGCCTGAGAATTTTCTTTCTTTCCAGCTATTTGAATGAGATATTGGGAGCCCTTGTATTCCATGTAAGTATTTCTGAAGCAGTAATGTTGTCTTATGCCAGACAGAATGGTTCTAAATATCTAAGCACATCTTTTCAAAGCAGTTTAAAAATGAACAAAATATGGTGACATGTCTAAAACATCCTTCATATGGCTTGAGACAACCGTCTACTGCATGTACTTTTTGGAAAACTCAAGCTCAATATTAATTCTTACAGTTTAAGATTGCCTAGCATCATACTTCTGTCTTAAAGAGTGAACAGTGGAAAGCTCAAATTCTGCGACTGAATCTCTCATTTATTATCGTATGCCTTTATAAATTTAGATAACTTTAATCATAAATATTTTCATAAGGATGTAAATGAAAATTATGCACATTTGGAGCACATAATAATAGAGTGGAACCCTCCCACTCGATAATTTATTTGTGTTAAGATGCGTGTCAGTTCTGTAGAATTAAATAGCTTGTTACTCTAGTATTTCAGGCAACTTCCACTTTTATTTTTCTCTTCATAGTGAGTCTCCAAATAACTACACTTAGCCAGGTAACCTTTGCAATCACCATACTGAAATGCAAGCATTTTTATATTGGAACGTAACTACTTTTTATTAGTGCAAAGCAAATATAATGAATAGTTTAGGAGAGATGGAGAATACTATTCCTGCTTACTGAAACAGTAGGTGAAAAATAAATAGACATATAGGAGAACAATAGTTTTAGCATAAATAAGGCTACTCATGGCAGCATAGAGACTTCATTAATCATTAATTATTGCAACTTAATCAGAAATACAAGGCCAAATTCTTCTCTGCTTGTGTTTTTTGTGTTGTTTTTATACCCGAGTAATATGAGTATGCAATTTATGCAATGAGAAAAGTAACATATTATGCCCTTAGTAGATGGGTATAAATAGCTATGCAAACTGGAAGAGACTAGAGAATTGCAGGGTTTTTTAACTGTCACTGTCATGACCAAATTGCTGGGTCACATAAACAGCAAGTGAGTCAGTCATTCAGGTGATGCTCATTCCTTTAAGTTCTTCCTTACAGCAAGTTTTTTTGGCAGTCTTCCATCCAGCTGCTTGCTATATGTATAAGCCTCTGGCATATGACAACAGATAAAGCAATGACATATGTGGTAAATTACTTGGTATTTATAGTGAAAACTGAAGCTTAATTTGGAAAATAGACATGCTTCTTTAATATTGTATGCTACGTTTGCACAGGAACTCATGTCTGTTCCCAGTTGGACAAATCATTCATGGATTTCAAATGGAGCTGAGCTCTCTTACTCAGTGATCAGGAAATAATGCAGTAGTGTCAGTTACTTTATACCATTGTTTACAGAAAAGTTACTGTGAAATAGTATGAATTTTCTTCAGTTATATAAGTAAGCCTGTATTACAACTCTCATAGAGGGAAAAAAGGTCATTTGCCAAAATTCTACATACAGAGAGTTAAATCCGATAGCAGAATTGAGTGCAGAAGAAGCTGGGTTAGAAAGTCATGGCTAAAAACAAAGCTTTATGATAGAAGGGCCTACGTTCCAAATCCTGTAATTAATCACTCATGATGTAAGAAATCTCAGTGAAGTCAACTACACTACTCAGAAGAATATGGATTACTTGCATGAGTAATTGCTGTAGGCCTGGATCAAATAGATTTTGCAGTCTACTTTATGCAGCTGTTATGCAATTTTAAAAAAGTCACAAAATTAGTGCAAAGTGAGTTTTTCTACATCTTTTTTGACTTTTCAAAGCTCACAGTACCTATGAAAAAGTACCTTCCTCTGAAGTAGTCAATGACTAATGATTACCTATGTTCTCACTGAAATATAGTAAGATGTTTAAAACATACAAATTGCATGTAAAGTTATAATCTACTATTTGCACTTAAATGATATAACCAAAACATTTCTAATAGTATTCTATTCTATGTCACAGAACGCATTATAAGCATGACCAGTATAATATACATTAAGATAATATACATTGTATGTGGGATTTTTAATATCCAGTAATGATTATATTGGATAATCTTAATCTTTAAAGAATGCTATCAAAACATTATGGCACTTGGTAATGTTATCATACTGGTTTAGTTATTATAAGAAATATCAATTATGCAGGTGTTTATATTGATTATGTTTGCACAGACCTGATGATTCTCTATTATTTATGTACTAATGAATTTATTTTCTATATTCTAAATATATATGTAGCAAGTCAGTTTACTGCTGTTAAAAATTAATTATATTCACAAAAGGGAGTAGATTTTCTGGGTCAGATTTACTTCTGGTATTACTCCATGAAGAAAGCTCTATACCTTCTCTGATTATTAGTAGGTACGGTACAGGCTACAGAATGTGCTGTCTGCAGTTCATAATCTGGAGTCTCACTTTGGATGTTTCTGTTTGTAGGTGACCAACAGGAGGCAGCATAAGATCTGTTTTAATTGAAACAAACTGAAACCAGGTATATATTTGACAATATTTATAGCTGAACATTATGCTCAATTTACTTTTTTTCCCCTTCTAACATCCAATAAAGCACAGAGATCAGTAACATTTTACTGCTGCCTGAGCTCTGCTGATATGCGGAAAGTATGATACTACATGTTTGCCAAGATGTTAATTCTTTTGTGAAATAAAAGCACGGAGTAACTGAATCCTTCTGAGGTCTGGTTTTTTGTTTTTCAGGGAGTTTCAAAATACAGATAATCTACAGTGTTTCTAATGAGGTTAACTACTTTTTTTTTTTCTTCCTTTTTTCAACTAGAGAACATTTTGAATGTTCAGTTATAACTAAGAATGCAGTTGGCATGCATGGAAACTGCAGTGAGAGGGTTTTTATAAATTATCCTTGGAGTTTATATATCTTCTGTATACCAATTTGCTCCTCCCATGCTAAATTTGATTTAGTCTGCTGGAAAGTTGTAAGTTCACCATTGTAAAGTACTTATTTAAATTGGTATCTTTTTTTTTTTTTTTTATCCATCTGTCTCAGATTGATATATAACACTTTTTTAACAGTTTAAGTATTGCAAATGATTAGGTATTTATTTTGAACGAAATGGGCTTCCATACTACTTTGATGGCTTTAAATAAAAGGAGATATAAGCTACTTAGTCTAAAACTCATGTGCAAAGGGTGCAGAAATGTTATTAATACAAATTGAGGGAGCCCTGTGTTATCTTGTATTCTTCTAGAATTTTTAATTCTGTAACATTCAAACCCCTGTATAGATGAAGTAGAGCTACAGCAATAAAAATTAACCTTCCAAGGCCTTTGGCCCACAGCTAGCAAAAGCTGTTTGGAGACATGTACAAAGCATTCCAACACTGTTCACAGTGTTAAAAGCTTATACTGAACAATGAAGGAATTCACAGACCAAATTTGAGAGCTGCAGTTGTCTAACCTTGAAGAGAATTGTGTGTGGATGTTCTGCAGATCCAGGGAATTCAGCATGGACTTGCACAGTTGGTATCTGAAGTAGATTGTATGGTCGGGCTTTTCCCATTGTGATCAACAGCAAGGAAGCAGAGTCTGGTTTTAATGAATAAATTACACATAGCTTACACAGAATCACAGAATCAATGTTAGGGATTGGAAGGGACCTCGAAAGATCATCTAGTCCAATCCGGCACATAAATTACATATAAATTCAAGACAGTTCAAGTGAACAAAGGAAGTCTAAGGATTTTTGTTGGATGGAGCTGGTATATACCAAGATTTTTCACCTGCAATCAGTAGCTTTTTTATAGTGGAATAACAATAGGGGGAGCAAGTAGAGCTATTTAGAATTATGTGCACAGCTACCCTAGGCAATCATATGGTTCCTATTTCAAATTATTCTAATGGACACTAATCATATTTAGTGGTTTTTGTGCTTTACAATAAAAGAAGGGTACTCAATGAGGTATAATTAGCACTAATTAGTTTTTCAGAC